TGCCATACAAACACAAAGAATTCGGTAAGTGCGTCATTGGTGTTATCCCAGTTCAGGTGCGTCTCGAGGATACGTGCTGAGTCGTAGGATCGTTTGAGGAGCAGCTTGGCCGCGGGCTCCCACGATGACTTGTTTCGCATATGGATCTTGAAACGGATTGCTTTGCTCTTCGCAGCTTCCTTCAGTTCCGATGCAGTTGCGTCCGCGTCATTCCCATACCGACTGGCACTCCTCGATCCCAACGGCCTAACCACCTTCTGGGTGGTTTCGGGTAGCCAAGACTGCTTCTTTCACCCGGTTCCACAGCTGCAGCACGCGATCCTGAGCATGGTCGTCGTCAACTTCATCTGGCAGCTGACGATCAGGTGGTACAAGAGTCCCAAGGAACCTCCTGCATAATTGCCGTTGCTTTTGCCAACCGTCCCAGTGCCATCGGAGTATCTGCTGGGACTGTTCACGATCCATATTTTCTTCTCAATCTTAAAGTATGCGAAAGAAGAGAGCTCTATGCGGCCCCGCCCTTTCTCAAGCCTCAGCGCACAAAGGCTGAGCAACCTCTTGCAAGGACCTGCCGTGCTAGAGCCTCATTGAATAGTTTCGTAGCGCCTCTCGGGATCTGCGTGGGAAGGATTCGACAAAGTACGGAACGCACCGTTCCCGCCAGTGTTCCAAGCTGTTATACTGTTCACCTCGAACAGTAAGAATCCATCTGGCCGCTGATGATGTCATTTCTTTTCGAAGTCTCCATCGATCCTTCTCAGAGGTGCCCCTCATTGGTGGAGGTACATGTGTCGGCCAAATTACCACCCATTCGAATCCACCACGTTTGAAGTATAACTTCCACTCAACCTTCCAATTGCCATGATGGTATCCCTTCGCCGAGAAGGTACGTATCAACTTCAAGAATATCGCATCCTTCCCACATTCCACGCTACCGAGGGTCTCAAGAGTGCCCCCCCTGGAATGCGTCAGCACCCATGAACTCATGGACCGCTTCGCCCCACTCCTTGCCAGGGATCTCAAACGGAGCCGCCCCCTGGAATATCTCAAAGCTCTCCGTCGCATCGCCGAAGTTGCCAGGAGCCCCACGCTGTCGGAGGCCACGTCCTGGAAAAACCTCTCTGATGTCGAAAACGCCGCCGAACTCGTAGCATATCTGCCCGGCGATCCCTCTTCACTAGCCTCCCCCTGCGCTGCGACCAGTCCTTGGAGGTAGCACGGGAGCCAGGGTTCTGCCGAGGGGGGGCTTGTATCAAACGCCAGAAGTAGTGCGCTTTACCGCCAGGGCCGCATCCATGATGTTCCGCAACTACGGCTGCTTGTCCTCAGCAACCGTGCTGGCCTTTGCCCGCGCGGGCGCCGTGGTCGCAGCCGCTGTCGCCGAAGACGCAGCGCTTGTTGAAGCTGGAGTCGCCGCTGCCTTAGCTGGTGGGGTAGTTGGTGAAGCCGAAGCTGTTGTCGCTGCAGCTCCTTCGCCACCCACATTCGCAGTCCACGCAGTTTTCGCAGGCTCCGCCTTGCGCTTCCTGGAGAGCTGCCAGTTGCCCAGCTCCTCCACCTTCTTTTGCTGCTGCTCTGCCAGCGTCGCCACCATCTGACTGACATGAGCTCCGAATGCGGCACGGAACTCTTCCTCGAAGGAGGACTTGCGTTTCTCGAACTCAAGCCTGCCCGACTCCGCCGGCTCCACGTCCGCGAAGAGTCCGCCGAAGCTGAGGTTGAGCTCTGCCTTCTTGTCCAGGAACTCACGCACGTCCAGCGTCCCCAGCTCGGGCCGCTGCGTAGGAGGTTCAGGAGCCAGCTCTTTGGCGACCGACTCCTGGGCCACGATTGCGTCTGCCAGGTTGCTCGCGCCATCCTGGTACAACGGCATAGCCTCCTCGAGCTCCGACTGTAGACGCAGAGCCCGCTTAGGCACCTTGTCCAGGGCCGCCTCCGCGCGCTCGACCTTCTGCGTTGCCTCCGACAGGCGCAGTGACGCTGGCCTGGGAGGTGGTGCTGGAGGCGCCTGCTTGGCCAACGTGTCTTGTAGAAGTTCTGCTTGTTCTGCCGCGGCACCTCCATTGGCGATGATAAACCCCAGCGAGGCATCCACATCAAGACAATGGCCACGCTTGCCTGAACCAGGCCCATCCTGAGGGCTGGACCACTGGCCGCTGGGTCGTCCCTTGAGGAAGTTGCCGCGCAACTGGCAAGTGTAGCCAGCCGTGCTTCGCCAGCAGGTCGCTGCAGCAGAACTTCGCACAGACCTTGCACCAAGTGGCTTCCCTTCAAGATTGAGGTACATAATACCACACCTGTCAACTAGTACGTTCAGCAGCTGGCTTCCAGGGCCAGGACATGGCGTAGCCGCCGAACTTCTTCGTGCTGCCTCCTCCCAGGATGGGCCGTCGGCGCCTAGGGCGAGGGAATAACACGGTGTCTAGGCCCATCTCGAGGTAGGGTTCGCCGACCGCCACGGAGCACGCCAATGCCAGAGAGCATTGTATTGCTGACGTCCGCCCTTTCCCATGGCTGCGGCAAGCAATAAAGCAGGGCGAGAAGAATGTCTGTGGAGTTCAGGCGAATGTAAAGACAGGGGGGGTCTGGCTTCGGAGCAGAGGTGCTCACTCTCTGCCCCGAGGACAACATCATCTTGAGCCAAAATGGCTACGGATGAGGAGCAGGAGGAGGAGGAGGAGAAGGAGGAGAAGGATAACAAGACGGAGGCGGACGAGGAGAAAGAGGATGATGATGATGATGATGATGAGGAGGAGGAGGAGGAGGAGGTGAGAGAGAACGAGATGATTCTGCTGATGATGCTGATACTGATGCTGATGCTGATGACGATGATGATGGTGGTGGTGACGATAATGCTGTTGATGATGCTGATGATCTTGATGATGCTGCTGCTGATGATGGTGATGATGGTGATGATGATGATGATGATGTTGGTAGTGGTGATGCTGGTGATGATGATGACGATGCTGTTGATTATGCTGATGATGCTCATGATGATGCTCATGACGACGACGATGATGATGATGATGATGATGATGATGATGATGATGATGATGATGATGATAATGGTGCTGTTGCTGCTGCTGGTGATGATGGCGATGCTGAGGATGATGATGGTGATGGTGATGCTGATGCTGAGGACGACGATGATGCTGACGGTGATAATGATGATGATGCTGCTGCTGATGATGATGATGATGATGGGTTTGCTCAGGATGTTAATGATTATGATGTTGACGATGCTGGCGTTTATGATGATGACGATGCTGATGATTGATGCTGAGGATGATGTTGACGATTCGGTTGTTAGTGTTGGTCGTTGTGACGATGATGTGGTTGTTGTTGCTGCCTCTGCTGATGTTGTTGCTGCTGCTGATGCTGTTGCTGCTGCTTTTGCTACAGTTGTTGTGGTTGTTGTTTTTGTTATTGCTGTTGTTTTTGTTGCTGCTTCTGTTGTCGTTGGTGGTTTTGCCGAATCTGCTGCTGTTGTTGCTGTTGTTGAAGATGATGACGACGATGCTTAGGGTGCTGTTGTTGGTGGTGGTGATGATGACGATGATGATGATAATGATGAGGATGATGATGCTGATGATGATGATGATGTTGATGATGACGATGAAAATCTTGATTATGATGACAATAATTCGGATGGTTGTGCTGATGCTGATGATGACGACGATGACGATGGTGGTGATGATGCTGATGATGCTGATGATGACGACGATGACGATGACGATGACGATGACGATGACGATGATGATGATGATGATGATGACAGATGATGATGATGATGATGATGATGATGATGATGATCATGATGATGATGATGATAATGATGATGATGATGATGATGATGGTGGTGGTGGTGATGATGATGATAGATGATGATGATGATGATGATGATGATGATGATGATGATGATGATGATGATGATGATGATGATGATGATGATGATGATGATGGTGGTGGTGGTGTGGTGGTGGTGGTGATGCTGCTGCTGATGATGATGATGATGATGATGATGATGATGAGGAGGAGGAGGAGGAGGAGGAGCTGGAGGAGGAGGAGGAGGAGGAGAAGTGCGGGCGGGAGGGAGGGAGGGATGAGGGAGGGGCGAGGATGGAAGCGGGAAAGGTGAGATGTTGAGGAGGAGGAGGAGGAGGAGGAGGAGGAGGAGGAGGAGGAGGAGGAGGAGGAGGAGGAGGAGGGAGGAAGGGGGAAGAGAGCAGGGAATCGGGGACACGGAGGATGGAGGGGGAGGAGAGGCGAGGAAGGAGGGAAGATGGAACGAATGAGTGTTGACATTGCTTCGTCGGGTGTCCTGGCGTGAGGTTCGCGGCTGCTTTCAAAGGCCTCAAAGAGCCGGCGTACCTCACCGTGGGCGATTGGCGCTTCAAGCAGATGTTCCGCAACTTCATGGTGCACGCGCACAACCTGACCTGTGGCACCTCGGACCTTGCCACCCACCACATCACCCCAACCCAACCCGCATGCCCCTATTTTCCCTCCGTTCCCAGTGGGGGGGAGGCGTCGGAGAACATTGAAAAAAACATGTGGAACCCGTACCCCCCCAACTCGAAATTTGGGTCTTCGGGTTCGGTTGGGGTTGTCTGGTAGGTAGTCAGGACCACGTTGTGGCCGTGAACGTGGGACTGGACAAGGCAAGCTACGAGGAGTGCGAAGAACAATGAACCGCATACACGCAGACTTTCGGAGTTCCGCGCGGATTTCTTGGGTCGGCGCTGGCCCCCCCCCCTGGCGCGCGCAGCGAGCTGGGCGCCCAGCGTCGATCCAAGAAATCCTTTCGGAGCTCCGAAAGTGTATGCTGATGCAGTTTGTTCTTCCCCAAGGAGTGCCAGGCTGTCGCGAAGGGCATCGTCCAACCCTCCAACGTGGGGTCCAAAGGCAAGTTCGAGCTCCGGTGCATCGACCTTTCGGGATGGCTGCCGAAGGAGCTCTTCGCGGAGTCGGCAGCTCAGGCGTGGTCTTGCGCTTACAATATGGTGCTGTGGACCAAGCCGCATATCATACAGGCTGCCGTGGAGGCGGCAGAGCAGCCTGTCATGATGATCGACACCGATGTGATCCTGCACCAGAATGTGCTGAAGATCGCGCCTGGAGTGTTGGCGGCATGCAAAGGCTGTGTTGCAATCACGGGTCGCGAGTACGCGTCTGAGCACCGGCAGAACACCGGGACCGTGTATTCTGGCAAAGACGGCCTGCCCCTGCTGAGGGAGTGGGCCAGAGTTGATCCGGACTTCCTGAACGCGAAGGAGGGCGATCAGAGCGCAATGCAGCATCTGATGCAAACGGACTCCAGATTGCAGGCCGTTCTTGTCGTCCTGATTTTTTTCGCTGTTCATCTTCCTTCCCCCCCTCCTGGGACTTCCATTTCGCCCACGTGTTAGTTCCCTTCGCCATGCTCCTTGCTCGTCCTGCTTCTCCCCTCCATCCCCCGTCCTTCTTTCTCCCTCGTTGGTCCTCCTTTCTCTTTCTCCTCTCCTCTCGCTCTCTCTCTCTCTCTTTCTCTTTCTCTCGTATCTTGCACCTCTTTCCCTCGTTTCTTGTTTCTCTCTTCTCTTCCCACCTCCCTCATCCCTCCCTGTTCCGTGCTCCCTTCTTCCCCCTCTTCTCCCTCCTCCCTCTTTTTTTGTTGTTTCTCATCTTTCCTCGTTCCTTCCTCCTTTCTCCCTCGTCCGTCCTTCTCCTGTCATGGTCAAGACTCGACCATCATGTCCTGCGCTAGCTTCGTCGGCTGCCCGGTTTGGCTTACAACAAAGTCACACTGATGGCACTCGTTTTTCCAAACAGCTCTCGATTGGGCCTGGCAGGAGAGCTGTCTGTTACTGCTTCGCGTCAGTCATCGTACCGATCGGGCTGCACCGGTGGCAGAACAGGCCGGACAGCGAAGGGCGGATAGCGAATGTCTCAACTATTGGAATCTCCACTTTAATTACCACCGCGAACAACCCCTCCGAGCATACAGTACACACCCTCCCCTTGTGATCCTCAATCGAACTGCCGTTCAAAGTTGCGGATGAGCAGTCTTATCGAGGATGTGTCGTCATTCTGCGGCAATGTGGATAGTAGTTGTTGGTTGGCGGCTCTATGGAATTCACTTGCAGAGCACGCGCAACCAGTAACGAAACATACGCATTGGAATGTCTGTATGTTTGCGGCGTTCACAGCCAAAGATATGGGAGGGACTTAGTAGGTCAAGGGGGATGAGCACGCTAATGGTCACCACGTCTCCATGTACAAACGTATAAGCGAGAGGTCTGACAAGACGGAGAAGTTTACCGAGTCAAGCGTGACCTCTCGGATGGTTGTGTCAAGATGCATCAATATGGCACCAACTGTGCCGCACTAGTCATGTGCAGTTCCGCCCTTTCGAAGTTCAGCGTAGCGTTCGGGCAGTGAGCAGCTACTGACACTGCCATTGTTTGAAATCGCCCAATGGCATTGTTCAGAAGCGCAATGATTTCGTGATCCCCTTTGGCGCCTACGTCAAAGTTAGTGCTCCTCCAATCGACTGCGAAACGCGTAAGGTCGGCGTGGTGCTGCTGCCTACGCCCACCCATCGGTTGCGTCAGTATGGGATGATCACGGCAGGCGGTTCCAAGTGGCACACGTTACCCCTTAACCGTTACCGGTACCAGCGGCTTCTGTTTCAGGAGTCATCAACGGCATACCTTGAGCATGGGCTGGGGAGCCGAAGGGGGCAACCACGGGAATGGTAGTCCCCCTTTGTGATCTCATCTCTCTACATATATTGTTCGAACCTGCCGGCAGTTTATTGCAGTCAAAGGGTGGGGCGAGACGATGTCGCGGATGTTCGATCAAGGCGCAGAGCTTGGACAGTTTCGTGCGCCGCGGCATCCTGGACCAACATTTGGTGCGCTCGAGTTCCCTCGACACCAATCCTCGATTCGAGCTCGAGCCATTGCCGAGCAGGCAGGGCGTGCGTGAAGGACGCTCTGGAGCGGCGTAACCTGGCATCGGTCCCAGGGAGGGCGCCGCCGCGCGGAGCGCGGCCCGACACGACGGCTCGAGCGGAGAGGTGGTCCGCGCCGTCCATATTCGAGTCCGTTTTGAGCGGGCTCTCCCCCTTGCCCTCCCCCCGCGGCCGCCTGCTTCCTCCTGTACTCGTAGTGTTAAGTCGGGCGTGCTCCTCCACAGGAGGAATACTCAGAAATAGTCAAAAAATCAGTCGGGGGACGATTTTGATTGTATTTTTGACCGCTTTGGGGTATTTTTGGACTATTTTTCATTTTCGCCCAAAATCCGCCTGTAGGAGGACACGCCCGACCTTATCGTAGTGCCCAACTTGCGTTGCCACTTCTGGGTTAGCAGACCCAGGCGCGCTGCGCGAGCGCCGGCGCCGCGACCAAACAAGTTCAGAATCAAGCGCTGAGGACCCTCGAAGGTTAGGCGCTAAGCGCATTCGTGCAGTCACGGCATGGTCACTTCAGGCCACATCAGGCCTTTAACTCGCAGATCCATCTTTAACCGCTGAGTGAACGTATTCAGTTGTGCAAGGCAGTTTGATGGTAGGAGCGCTGCATATGTTACGTATACGAACTTCGCGCTTGTCAGGCTGAAATAACTTCAGTACCAAGCGTAGACGCGGTTGGTGCAGCACTCAGAAACCTGATGCTCATCATCTCGAGTACAACTGCGTATTCAAGTGGCTAACGTCATTCCGCCGACTTGCAGAAGCAGTGAGCGCTTGTCTCGATCGTGGAAGCTATCTAGTGGATCAGGGACCTCCTGGGACTCTTGGGGTGCCTCTCAGGGGCCTATTGGAGGGCTCTTTAGTGTATCTGCGGTGTTGTTTAGAATCTCTTGGGGGCTTCTCGGGAGCCTCTTGGAGGCGTCTGGGGCCTTTTGGGGGCGTCTCGGCGACCTGTGGGGGGCTCTATGGACCATTCGCTCTTGGGAGCCTTGGGAGCGCTCTTGGAGCCCTGTTGGGCCGTCTTGGAGCCATCTTGAAGCCTCGGAAGCGAAAAGGCGAGAAAGCCAAAAACATGAATTTCCCCTTAAGATTAAGGGGAAGGATTTTGGCCTCTTTGGGGCCTCCTGGGGGAGCTCTTTGGCCACTTGGAGCCGTCTTGGAGCGGTCTTGGGGCCTGTTGGATTCTGGGGGTCTCTTGGGGGCCTCTTGGAGCTTCATGGCCACCTCTTGGGGCCCTCTTGGGGTACCCTTGGGGGCCTTGGGAGCGCTCGTGGGGCCATCTCGGAGGAGATCGATCAAAGAAGGAAAGTTCCTTAATTAGCGCCACCCCCCAAGAGGCCAAAATGGGGCCAAAACGCTAGTAAAACCAATGATTTTGGCTTCCTCGCGGAGGCCGTCTTGGATGCTCCGACCGCTCGCGAAACCGTCCAGGTCCAGGGGAGGGGGTAGGGGGAGGGGTCAAGCTACCCCCTCCCCGCCCGCAAGCTGTCTCGCTCACTCCCACCGGCCTTCCCAACACATACGTAGCACCCGAGCTGGGCCCGAGCCGCAGCATATTCAGCAGTCGTCTTTGGATGGGCAGCTACTGGGGGCGAATCCGCCGCCGCCGCCGCTTCCGCCGCCCGCCGCCGCCGCCGCCGCCCGCCGCCGCCGCCGCGCCGCCGCCGCCGCCGCTGTCCGCCGCCGCCGCCGCCGCGCCGCCCGCCGCCGCGCCGCCGCCGTCGCCGCCGCTGCCCCCGCTGCCGAATAGTCGCCGCCGTAGCCGCTGCCGCCGCAGCCGCTGCCGCCACCGCTGCCGCCGCCGCCGCCACCGCTGCCGCCGCCGCCGCCGCCGCCGCCGCCCCCGCCGCCGCCGCCGCCGCCGCCGCCCCCACCGCCGCCACCGCCGCCTCCGTCGCAACCGCTACCCCCGCCGCAGCCGCCGCAACCGCCGCCTCCGCCAAGTGTACTGTGTATGGCTTTTTTGACAAGGATGGTCGGGGGAGGCCGCATCGGGTTCGCTGCGCACGCTCCGAACTTGGAGGCAGAGTGTTTTTTTTTTTTTTTTTTGGTTGTTTTTTTTGTTTTTTTTTGTTTTTGTTTTTTTCCTTAACAGCTCTTGCTGCTAGGTTTCTAGTGGTCTCAAAAGAGAGCATCATGACTCCTCAGGGGGGTCTGGGCGGGACCTGGACAGGCTGCCGCCGCGGCTGCCGCCGCACTCGTTTTTCACAAACAGTCACACACTTCGTGCTTTTCGACTTCCCAGAACTCCATTCCCGGGCCACATTTTGGATGCCCGGAGCCAACTGTAGGCCACTTCGTGCTCTTCGATTTCCCAGAACTCCATTCCCGGGCCACATTTTGGATGCCCGGAGCCAACTGTAGGCCACTTCGTGCTCTTCAAGTTCCCAGAACTTCATTCTTGGGCATGATTTTGAATGCCCGGAGCCAACTGTAGGCCACTTCGTGTTCTTCTAGTTCCCAGAACTTCATTCCTGGGCCACATTTTGAATGCTGAGGCAGGCTGATGCTGCGGCCGAGGCAGGCTGAGGCTGAGGCAGGCTGAGGCTGAGGCCGAGGCTGAAGGCAGACTGAGGCTGAGGCTGAAGCAGACTGAGGCTGAGGCTGAGGCAGGCTGAGGCTGAGGCTGAAGCAGGCTGATGCTGAGGCAGGCTGAGGCTGAGGCTGAGGCTGATGCAGGCTGAGGCTGAGGCAGGCTGAGGCTGAGGCCGAGGCTGAAGGCAGACTGAGGCTGAGGCTGAAGCAGGCTGAGGCTGAGGCTGAGGCAGGCTGAGGCTGAGGCAGGCTGAGGCTGAGGCTGAGGCAGGCTGAGGCTGAGGCTGTGACTGCGACTGCCGTTGCCGCTGCGACTGTCATCGCGAATGCGACTACGACTGCGAGAACAGCAGAATTCTACAACTGGATTTTCATCTGAATCTTAAGGGGAATGCTTTCAGATATGCTTCTACACATCGCTGTTAGGTTGCTTTGCCAGGATAATTTTACCTAACAGCTCTTGCTGATAGGTTTCTAGTGGTCTCAAAAGAGAGCATCATGACTCTTCAGGGGGGTCTGGGCAGGACCCGGACAGGCTGCCGCCGCGGCTGCCGCCGAAACCGAAATCGCTTTGGACATCCTCGCAAAATCGCTCTTGGTGCTCCCAGAACTCCATTCCCGGGCCACATTTTGGATGCCCGGAGCCAACTGCAGGCCACTTCGTGCTCTTCGACTTCCCAGAACTCCATTCCCGGGCCACATTTTGGATGCCCGGAGCCAACTGTAGGCCACTTCGTGCTCTTCGATTTGCCAGAACTCCATTCCCGGGCCACATTTTGGATGCCCGGAGCCAACTGTAGGCCACTTCGTGCTCTTCAAGTTCCCAGAACTCCGTTCCTGGGCATGATTTTGAATGCCCGGAGCCAACCGTAGGCCACTTCGTGTTCTTCTAGTTCCCAGAATTCCATTCCTGGGCCACATTTTGAATGCTGAGGCAGGCTGATGCTGCGGCCGAGGCAGGCTGAGGCTGAGGCAGGCTGAGGCTGAGGCCGAGGCTGAAGGCAGACTGAGGCTGAGGCTGAAGCAGACTGAGGCTGAGGCTGAGGCAGGGTGAGGCTGAGGCTGAGGCTGAGCTGAGGCAGGCTGAGGCTGAGGCTGAGGCTGATGCAGGCTGAGGCAGGCTGAGGCTGAGGCCGAGGCTGAAGGCAGACTGAGGCTGAGGCTGAAGCAGGCTGAGGCTGAGGCTGAGGCAGGCTGAGGCTGAGGCAGGCTGAGGCTGAGGCTGAGGCAGGCTGAGGCTGAGGCTGTGACTGCGACTGCCGTTGCCGCTGCGACTGTCATCGCGAATGCGACTACGACTGCGAGAACAGCAGAATTCTACAATTGGATTTTCATCTGAATCTTAAGGGGAATGCTTTCAGATATGCTTCTACACATCGCTGTTAGGTTGCTTTGCCGGGATTTTTTTTTGTTCATTTCTTATTTTTTTTTTCCAGGGATGGTGGGGGGGTGCCCTCATTGATTCGGGTTGGCTCCCAGTCGCCTGGGGGAGGGGTGTATATTAATAGGAAACAGTGATCAAGACTCCCTCCCCGCCCGCAAGCCGTCTCGCTCACTCCCACCCGCCCTCCCGACATATACGTAGCACCCGAGCCTGGCCCGAGCCGCAGCATACTCAGCAGTCGTCTTTGGATGGGCAGCTACTGGGGGCGAATCCGCCGCCGCCGCCGCCGCCGCCGCAGCCGCCGCCTCCGCCGCCGCCGCCCGCCGCCCCCGCCGTCGCGCCGCCGCCGCCGCCGCCGCCGCCGCGTTGTCCGCCGCCGCCGCCGCCGCCCGCCGCCGCCGCCGCCGCGCCCCCGCTGCCGAATCGCCGCCGCCGCAGCCGCTGCCGCCGCAGCCGCTGCCGCCACCGCTGCCCCGCCGCCGCCGCCCCGCCCCCGCCGCCGCCGCCGCCGCCGCCCGCCCCCGCCGCCGCCGCCGCCGCCGCCACCGCCGTGCCCCCCGCCGCAGCCGCCGCAGCCGTTGCCCCCGCCGCAGCCGCCGCAGCCGCCGCCGCCGCCGCCAAGTGTACTCTGTATTGTTTGTTGACAGGGATGGTGGGGGGAGGCCGCATCGGGTTCGCTGCGCATGCTCGGAATTTGGAGCCAGAGTGTATTTTGTATTGTTTTTTTCCAAGAGATGGCGGGGGTGTGCCCGCATTGTTCCTGGTTGGCTCCTAATCGCCTGGGGAGGGGGTGTGTACTAATAGGGAACAGTGATAAACCCCTCCCCGAAGGGGAAAAAGGGAATGGAAGAGGAAACACCCTAAATCAACTACGCTCTGTAGGGCTGGTGGGATTAGCTCCCAGCGTCTACGCAGCGCTGCCCTGACGTAGCCGTGAGCTGCAGGGGGAGCCTGTAATCATTTGTGCCGATGCGCCGTCTAGGCGCCATGCTTGCTTGCTTGCTTGGGCCAGATCCGGTTCGACTGTATTCCGACGATGCAACGCGGCCCGATGCTTGCATGGCGCCATTGCGCATGCTTGTGCAGCCAATCCGATTCGGTTTCGGTTCCGCACCGATGCAGCCCGATCCGGTGCACAGTCGGATTCGGTCCGATTTCACGAGTCGATTCCGACTGATCCTGTCCCCTTACAGTCAAGATGCTGATAAAGCAGCTCGGGCTCGGGGGTCTCGCTGTTCTTTACAGCATCCTTCCACCTTTATTTTTCCAGCGCTACGCCTGCACCCAGGCGCTCCTGGGGTCAAGAATGAGCTTCGTTGCTACTTGGCGTTCCTTCGTGGTGGCGCGATGGCTGCACCGTTCCCCGTTGCCGGGTGGAGTCAGCGGCGGAGTGCCCCGTCGGTGGGCGGTACGCCTCTCCGGCCCCAGGCATCCGATGTCTTGATCTGCCAAGACCTTGGCAGGGCTCGTCCGTGTGCGTTTTTCTCGTCGAGGGCAGTGTCCGAAAATTTGGACCCTCTTGGAGCATCTTGGATCATCATGGGGCAAGTAATTACGCACGAAACCAAACACTGCACAGGGAAGGGACGTCCGAGCGATGGCAAGATACGGGGCCTTTGGAGGTCTAGACCCCTTCCCCAGGGCCGGTGTTTCGGCCTGGGCCGTTTTCTGACCGTCATGGGGCCCGGCGAAGGATTCCAGAGGCCGAAGACGCCGCAACATTTGGTCGTTTCTTTCCCTTGTTGTTAGTGCTTTCCGTACTCCAGAGGTCTGGTCTCTCCCTTCCTCTCTCTCTATCTCTCTCCCGTGCTCCCGGGAACGGTCGACGCTCCGGGCGGGGCGGAACTGCCGACGCTCCTCCAGTGGCCGCCTCGCCGGAGCAGCCACGGGGACCGCTGGGGGCTCCCGCGGCCCAGGGCCGTCCATGTTTGTCGATTTTCGAGCGACGAGGGCGGCCCAGGTCCGTCGCCTCAGGCTGCCTTGTTTCTCGGTATCGTTTAACCGATCCCCATCCCCATCTCCATCCCCATCCAGACCCCCAGTATCCTTGCACCCCAGTTGGGGACACACACCTCGAAACCCGAAAGGAACTGCCTGTATCCCCATCTACGGGGTCAAGCGGCCATTGGGGCCCAGGCCACGTTCATGGGGATAGGGGTCGATTAAACGATACCCAGTTTCAAGGCACCATCGTCTCGTGGAGATTTGGCCACCCGTTCCTTCCGTTTGTCTTCGCCGTCCCGCGCCACGGGCGCCGCGCGCGACGCCGCCCCGCGGCGGCCGCGCGAGCGAATGACTGTGGCCTGGGACCCCGTTCGGCACCGAACCCAAGTCGCCTCCCGCTTCCCTTTTTCCTCTTCCTCCTCGTCCTTCTTTTCCTCCTCCTCCTTCTTTTCCTCCTCCTCCTCCTCCTTCTCCTCGCTGCTAGCTGCCCCAACAGCTGGATGCCCTTCAAGCGGCGCTAGCAAAGATGCCCAACAACTACTCGATTCTTCCGCCTCCGCCTGGATCGGCTAGGCCTTACCCCTGGCTGACCCACGAGGCGTTGAGTGCCCTGAGACCCGTGGACTCGTGGGGTACTAGCGCTCCTTCTCCTCGCTGCTTCTTCTCCTCCCGCGCCAACTCTCATGCCCCCGCCTCAGTGCTTGCTTGTTCTAGTGAGGTGCTCGCTGTTTCGCTTACGTCAGCTTGTCGTTCTAAGATATCAGTGCCATCGGCTCGTACACGCGCGGCGCCGATAGGACCCCCCCCAGGCTTCGAGGCCTCGCTGGAGGTCGCCCGTGCTGCACGCCTCGCCACAGTCCAGCCGACGGGCACGTGGCGGAACGCTCACGGCAATCAATGTTGAGCATGGTTGACGAACCTGGGGGTGGCGCTCCTCCTCCTCCTCCTCCTCCTCCTCCACCCGTTCTCCTTAATAGCTCCTCCCCTGTCTCGCAGCTTCACGGATGGAGGGCGGGTGACTTTCAAGCTGTGGCTTTCGCTTCAGCGCCGCGCGCATCCGTCGTTACAGTTCGCCACAGCTTCACGGATGGAGGGCGGATGGTTTTCAAGTTGTGGCTTTTCTTTTAGCGCCGCGCACATTCGATTGTAAAATTGAATACTTGTTTCACGGATTGAGGGCGATTGCTTTCCAAATTGTGGCTTTCGCTCTAGCATCGCGCCCAAACATTTTGACAATGGATATTCGTAGTGTTGAAGTCTCGGGAATAGTGTTCCGGCACGGTTTAGGATTGTCAGGACGCAGCAGTCAAGCTGTTTGTCTGTGTTGAGGTCACAGGAATGATGCTCTGGCGCGATTCAGGAATGCCAGGACGCAACAGTCACGCTGATCTGCGGCGTTGAAGTCACAGGAATGGTGTTTTGGCAGTTGAGGAGTCTCAGACGGTTGTCTTCTAATTGGCCATTTCCCGCAAGGAGCAACACATTTTGTAGGGACATGCAGAGGGAACTTGGAGGGATTTGTTTTGCAACATTGTTGATGCGTCGTGGGCTTACACTGGTCCTCTTCATCCTCGTCCTCGTCCTCGTCGTCCTCCTCCTCCTCCTCCTCCTCCTCGCATTCCTCTTGAACCTGTTCATGCACAAAGGGATTCCTGTGCACCGCTTCTGCGGCATCGGGGCCGACACGGGCAAAGCGAGCAAGCTCTCACGCGATACCGCTGGAGGAGAGCACAAACATCGCCTCCAGCAGCAACTGGCGGTGTTCGACCTCGCCCAGGTCGGGGAATGCGGCATCCCTGGCAGCCACGCCACCCACTACAACTGCCTCACGGGCAAGAAGGCCGCGCGCCGCCAGCAGCGGCCGATCGATCCCTCTCCCTGCCCTTCTCAGGGGCAACGTTCGGGGTGGGTGCAGTGCCGTTTTTAATACATGCTCCGCGTGCAGATCATGTATCAAAAATGCAGGGATTGAGTATCAAAAGCAACGATGAGTTCATGCATACATATATTCATACATCGATCATGTATTTAAATCCGATGTATTTTCTAAACGTCCCATGTTTTAAAAAAGTGCCCTGTAGGCTCCGGGGGGACGCATCGACCCACAACCGCCCATGGACCGCCGACAAAAGGCCCGACAGCCCACTCCGCCCAGGAGCGCGCGGGCTCGTTGTCGGAGGCCTGCCGCGCCCACTCCCGCTCGATGCCCCCCCTGAGCCGGCCCCCCCCCCCGCCCAAAGGTCTCCTTGCTGAGCTTCTGCTTTCGTGCTGGCTGGATGCGCTTTTTGCTGTCTGGGCAGCTGTCTGGCGTGGGGGGACCCCCGTCGCCTGGGCTGGGTCTGAGTGGGGCAGGGAAGCGCGGTCCTCGGGAGCGCTCTGAGCGGGAAGTGCCGCTTCTGTAGATTCGGTGCCCGTCTGGGTGGGGGGAGGCCCTCGTTCCCGCGGCTGGCCCCGGAGGGAACAGGAGGCAGCCCAGTCCCGAGAGTCTGCGAGTACTTGCGAACCCTACCCCTGCGGGTCTTATCGGCGCTGAGCCATCGGACGCCCCCAGTGGGGTGGGCTTTGCAGACATCTGACCTGCAGGGGCTTCACACGTGATGATGATGATGATGATGATGATGATGATGATGATGATGATGATGATGATGATGATGATGATGATGGTGGTGATGGTGATGGTGATGGTGATGATGATGATGCTGATGATGATGGTGATGGTGATGGTGAAGGTGATGGTGATGATGATGATGCTGATGGTGATGGTGATGATGATGGCGATGGTGATGATGATGCTGATGATGATGATGATGATGAGGAGGGGGAGGAGGCATAATAGTAATAAGAGGGAGAGGAGGCGGAGGAGGAGGAGGCGGATGATGATGAGGAGGAGGAGGCGGAGGAAGAGGAGGATGATGAGTTCGAGAGCGATGACGAGGACGAGGACGAGGATGATGAGGAAGAGGATGATGATCATGATGGTGATGATGCTGGTGATGTTGAGAGTGATGATGATGATGATGGTGATGATGATGATGATGATGATGATGATGATGATGATGATGGTGCTGATGATGACGGTGATGATGATGCTGATCATGATGTTGATGATGATGATGATGATGATGATGATGATGATGATGATGATGATGCTCGTGATGATGAGGAGGAGGCGGATGATGAGGAGAACACTCATGATAATGAGGATAATGAGGAGGAGGAGGAGGAGGGAGAGGAGGAGGATGAGGAGGAGACGGATGAGGAGGCAGAGGAGGAAGAATGTTAAGACAATTATTTCGACAGACAATGCTAATACGAATACTCAGACTGATAATTCGAATACTAATACTAATTAACATGATCTCACGTCTAACAATGATAGCACTATGAATATTACTACTAATGTGAGACACACTCTTCAACGGAAAGTGATCATGCTAATACCAGCCGTAAGAATATTCATACTAATATGCATACGACTAGACTAATACGCATGACAATACTAATACTACAAGCAGGAATGCGAGCACGAATAATGTTAATACTACCGGTACTACTGATATCGAGAAGAAGCGACAACACTAGTACGGACCACATGATACCACTACGACGACGAACCAGAATACTAGCACAAATGACACGAGACATAATGATAATACAACATATGACTGAGATGAATGAGCGAATGAATGAATGAATTAACGATGATGATGATGATGATGACGATGATGATGATGTTGATGCTGATGATGATGATGGTGATGATGTTGATGCTGATGCTGATGAATCTGATGGTGGTGATGATGCTGATGCTGATGCTGATGCTGATGATGATGATGATGAATATGATGATGATGATGATGATGCTGCTGATGATGACGATGATGATGATGGTGATGATGATGATGATGCTGATGATGATGATGATGATGATGATGTTGATCATGATGATGATGCTGCTGATGATGATGATGATGATGATGATGATGATGATGATGATGATAAGTAGTAGTAGTAGTAGTAGTAGTAGTAGTAGTAGT